AAGTTAAAACGTTTTCAAATTACAATATACGAGATTATGAGATAATCTCAGTAATTAAGGAAACACATATACTCAGCTGGAAGAATTTTATAAGAGTTAGACCAATTCGTAGTTTACGGATTGACTTCAGTTGGGATACCAGTGAAAAACAGATTAGTCATCAAGCGTTTCGCCCTTTCGTGAGACCCTTTAACCACGTTCTTTCAAGATCTTATCAGGGTTCGAACTCAGGATTACTGAGTTTCGTAGTGAGCTTTTTATCACAAACTGACTAAAGATGAAATATGGACAGTTATATGCTTAGTCAATACCCTAAATTCAATGAAACTTGATGATACTAAGTTCGACACCAGGTGAGGTCGTGGGTTCAGAGGGTTAGATAGTCCCATACCTGGATGGGACAGTTGTTTAGTACTCCCTATTTTTTGGGGTACTCTGAACGGCAAATCCATGATAACCTCCACTTGAGGTAAATATATAACTTGTAGCTTGTATTTATCATAGATTGATGTCAATTAAAGTACCGTTGAAAACTAGGTAGCACTGAACAGTTACTTTGTCATAGCTTAGATATCTTCAATAGTACGCACCCATGAATCCGTCAGCGATCGAACCCAGAACTTACAGGTATCGCATTGAACGTTTTATCACTAAAACCGCTAGATTGACGTCCAATGGTAAAACTCTATCTTCAATCAATTCACGATATTGTGCAAAAACATAATATGTTGTCATTAAGCTTTACAGCATTAGGGATTCCAAATTACTTTTGGAAAATTACGATTCATTGCATTCATCAAAATATCTACATTATTCATGCTAGCGACTGGTTTAATTAAATATGAATTTCATTTTTAAATAATGCACATGTAATATCTTTTATGCATACTGCTCACTCGGCATACCATCTAGGTTCATGGGAGACCTTAGTAAAATTGATTTCTCAATTCTGATGTATACTACGGTTGGGAGTTATAAATTTCTCTCATTTTTCACATATGATCTATAAATGGAATGAAAATGCAACTCAGTTCATCCATCTGATAATTAGTCTATCAATTGAGATATGAAAAATTAAGATACCATGGCAAACAACGTCTACTTACAATAATAACTTCACTTAAATATATGAGTAATCAAATGACCTAAATATTGTCAACGTGGGCGTTGACTGTTACTCAGTTTGTAGTCCATTTTGGTTAGTCTTAGCTCATTCTCACCCTCGCCACCCCCAGTATTCTTGTACTGATTCATCGCATGTAGCCTTGGTGTGTTGTTAACTTTAAAAAAAGCCTATCTAACCTGTTCAATATAGTTTTACTTATACTTAAAAGTACTACAGATGAAAACTGATTATCAAAGCTAATGGTTATTGATTGATTATGATTGAATCTTCAGTTCTTATTGTTGATTATTAACTGATGAAACTACTTATTCTTCGGCGAAACTGATCACCTTACTTCAGTTTAGTTTATGAATAGTTAGACAGATATACAGACGAACAAACAATGAAAAATAGTGATCAGAAAGGAACAAATGATTATTTTTAGCATAGAATATTTGAAATTCTGAACAAAACAAAGAGAGATTGTGTTAAAAACCATTTTAATAAACTTTGGATCGTATTATTTGGACTTGGTTATAACTCTTAACGACATCAGCTAAAAGCATATAACAACTTGATTTTCAGAAAACTGCTACTGAGAATATGTAGTAGTCCTATTCATTTCATACTTCTCTCTAAATTCTTATGCTTAATATAATATTTTCAATCATTGATTTTACCCTGTCACTATTTGAATATGACCTTTGTCAAGTTAAACTGATACATACTTGTCATAAGCCTTACATTGTCTATCACTAACTGACTGAATACTTTGCGCTTAGAAGATAACTTCTTAACTTTTCATTGGTTAATTAATTAAAGGGATTGTAGGATTCTCCCAACAGTCAGTGTTAGTCGTGGTAACGTCGCGCAGACACAATAATCCTTTATCCACCCTTGAATGTTAATATTCAATATTCCTTCTTACTCATATCTTTTTATTCCTACCTTTCAAACTATATTTTCAACTTTCAATCTTTTTCACTTCTGTTACTACTGTAGTTATTTCTACTCCCTTACTACTCATCTCGTTAATTTCCTTCAGTCTTGGTATTATGGCATGATCATTTAAGCCATCACACATTAGTCTCAGGTTTTTTGTTGATTATAACTGACTGAATGTATGTCTTATGTTTTGTGTCTCTTCAAATACAATTATATGAATGTAGAATATTCTTTTCAATAATTTCTCATTAGTTTCTACAATTATCTCATATCCAAATTAATTATCCAAATGATGATCAGGTTAAAGGCGAAGTACATTTAAAATTAATAACATGAATCAAAGATTGTTTGTCATATAAAATAACATGATATTAATCTGCATATGCTCAGTAGTGACTGGTTTCAAGAGGTATTTCTTGGAGTTCTAGTGAGAAGCAGTGACTAGTGGAGTTCAACCGCGTCTGTTGTGAGATAGTAACTCACTGAAGACAATGGTAAACGTGTCGCTGAATTTCGTGGATTGGTTGGAGTTAGACATTAACACCGTTGAATGCCAGTCGGCTCAGTGGTCTAGAGGTTAAACGTTTGCGCGCGAGACTGATAGGTCCTGGGTCCGAATCACGTGAGGCGCGATCGTGGATAGTTGGCCAAGGTAATAGGAGCGGTTGGACATGCTTCTTTTGTACTTAAAGCTCTGGCTTTTTAATCCGAATAGCAATTGCTTCAGTCATCTGTAGGATTTCCAGTTTGACAGATCTAGGTAGATTGCTGTTAACACGATATGTCATTGTGAAAGATTGTTTTATTTTGACTGTATGGTCTGTTTGAACTAAATTAGCTAAAATGGATTTACTGACAGTTTTAACTACACCTTTGTTTGAACACATTGTCAGGTGCTCACGAGCACGAATGTACAAATACCTAGAACACCTGCCAATATAATTTGCTCCATAGAAGTAGTTAAATTGACAGATACAGAAAGAATACTTGATGTATTATATTCGTTGGTTGTCTACTCCAGTACCTAGTGTTTACTGTTAACAGTGAAGTAGTCGAGGACATTTAAAATTCCGCTTATATTTCAATACTTATTCGATCATACATTTAATATAATATCAATATTTAGAATTTAAAAAATGCAATCACTTTTACGACTAATGATTTATTACTTCAGTCAACAAGACTCGTATCTCTCTATCTTAAAAGAAACAAATACTTAATCTATTCTCAGAAGAAGTTTTGTGGAGATTGTAGTAATTTCAACAGTTAAGATCATGAGTCAATTGAAGCTAGACCACCATGTAAAACCTGAAAGCACTGGACGGTCGTTTCGTCCTACTGTAGGAATCCTCAGCAGTGCGCATCCATGACTCCGCCTCACGGGATTCGAAACCAGGACCTATCAGTCTCAAATGTAAACATTAATTTAAATTCACTTGTTATTGTTTACTTGAATCTTCCCATCGATGTTTAGGACTGCAATTGATCAGTCTCTTATTAGCATATGTGCATACTGTGCGTATTGCCTTCATTCACAAGCATTCTAAGCAAAGATGGATAGTGGCTAACAGTGGAATACAGGACGCGCTTTTCGTTGTGTTTGGGACTCGTCAGCTGGATGTACCTGAATTTCAGAGTTGATACTCACTCTGGGACTCGGACCCAGTACCGTCCGCTTCAAACATCAACGCAGTATCCACTTAGCTACTAAGTCCTGATAGCCAAATATTAATTTTTCATCAATTATTCTAGTATTATTGTTTGTTTATTTTGCAATTTATATTGTGTTTTCGTTTCCTAGAGATTATGCTTTTTTCGTACATACATGTAAACGCATATGATTTGTGTAGAAAATTCAACTAATTCATGTTCTCCTCACTTTTTACTTTATTCAATCATACACGTTTATTTAATTTATGCATCTAGTTACAGGATATAAATTTGTTATCAGTAATAGAAAAATAATCTGATTGAAGGTTCAAAATGATAGCCTGTTATAAAAACGTTTATGTTGATCTTGTTAACTGTTTACTTATTTCTATCACACTAGATACAATTGTATATCCATTTATTTGAATATCTTTTTTACCTTAATAGTAGTTCGAAATTTGTCTTTATTGTTATCGATACATATACGGTGTAGGCTACTTATGTCCACAGACATAAATAGTATGTAACGCCGATCATAAGTGGTATGTCTGACAGCAGAAGGTTGAGATGATCTAATTGAAGAGAATGATAATGTAAACATAGAGTAGTTGTAATAGAAATAAAGGAACGGTGGAGTTTGAGACCATTGATGGAAGATTTGCAAATGAAATATATAATGTATGATTGTCGCATTTTATGGAAAAACTCCGTGATTTTGCATTGAATAATGAATTGGTTGTCCCCATCTGAATATTCGTTCATTACACACGTCCTTAGTTACAGATCTATATGAACCTTTAGAATTAAACTTCATTACTTAACATTATCATAATTGTTACAAATACTTCAACATCTGATTTGAATTCCATATTTAATGGTGCTAATGTATCCACGCTCCTCCTTTGATTTCAATACATTTGAAGCTGATCTCAATCTTTGGTTGGATGTTGTTGTTTTTTCTAACAAAACATTTAAATTGTTTTGAACATCGAACTTTCTACAGTTAATCAATCTATCAACAAATTCAAATCATATTCTTCATTTATCTAGATCAAAGGAATAGACCATGATTGATTCGATTGTATCACCAACCTTATATAAACGTTTTGCGTTTATAGCGTTGTTATTTCAAAGAGAATTATAATTTGTAATGTTTAATGGCATAATACGTTAATTTAAATTCAGACAGCATGACTATTAGAAAGTAGCAACTGTAGTTTCACTAATCTAAATAAAATACTCTATTTACTTTAATTGTCACTTTACTATAACTATTAATGTATTTGATTTACACATGCAGGTATGCTTCCACGTCTTAGTCCTGAAATTTGGATAACCACAAGTGAATATCGTCCTGATACAGATTCAAATTTGGATACAATTAGTACATCAGGTGAAGAATTCCCATATAATCCTGGTTTTCGTCCACATGGAACACGTTCATTAGGTCGTCCATTGTTTATTAGGGCAAATGAAACAGTGTGTATACTTGGCAAAAGGTTTGTTAAGTTTGTTTTTTTCTTTTCAATATTCTATCTACTTAGTCTTGCATTAAAAGTTACAAGTTGTTGTTCACTTTTCTACTTATGATTGTCAAGTAGTATTATACTGTTTAAAGGGTGAGTTGATTTTCATCTGTTACACAAGTACAGAATGATAATTGAATACTTTTCTACAAGATGTTTTATTGTTGTGTCATCCTGTCTGGTTCACAGTTAAACAACTTTTTTGTCTCTTAACGCTATCAAACATGAATTAGTTATCTTTTTATTAATAAATATTCCGATTAAATACCATTTTCTATTGATTGATTACTAAGTAACGACCAATATTATGTTAGTCTAGTTTTTTTAGTGTTCAACAAACATTGTTTGACCGAAGCTTTATACCTGATAAGACTTGTCAGCTAGACGTATCTGGAATCTTTACGGAACTAATGCTCCCCGTGGCATTCAAACTCATACCAACCAGTAACGATGCTAGAAATGTTACCACTGAGCTATTCGGGCCTCGATTATCCTCCTGTAGCGCTAGTACATTAAATCTAATTAATCACCTATTAGTAGATAATGTCACGCTTTGTGTAGTCTTTAGTACTAATGGAGTTCTCACTGACAAGTGGCAACCAGCACGACACCTAAATACAAGGCTTTCTTGCCATTACTACCTTCCGTCACCTTACAAATGTCACTGTTTCAGTTATTTTATTGAATTGGGTTTTTTAAAGCTTCCTGTGAGTATCATGGAGAAAACAAGCACATATTTTCGTTAAAGTTTCATTAGATATAAGTTATATCTAGCTTTCATATTAACTCTAGAGTTGTGACATACTAAAACATAGTATCAATTCGTCATGAGTCTGATTGGTAATTACTTACTTACGCCTGTTACTCCTCGTTCAGGAGCATAGGACACCCACCCACACTCCATCCAACACTATAGAAACTTCGACACTGGAGTTTCTGAGAAAATTGTCAACATTATCCGGAACTCATATGACGGACTACAGAGCAAAGTCGTGCATGGAGGACAGCTGAAAAATACATTTCAAGTAAGGACCAGAGTCAGAGAAGGTTGTTTACTCTCCCCCTTCCTCTTTCTCTGATTGGTAATACGTGAACTAAATTCGGAGATATAGCCTTTCCTTTTGTAATCCAATAAATTAAAGTCTATGGTAATAATAACCATGTGTTCACCAATGACTAACTTTGAAAGAGATTCCTGAAGTTGTAGCAAGAAGCTGTGATCAGTGGAGTTTAATCATGTCGGAAGTGGGATAGATATCGCCAACAACGTTATCATGAATTTATTGATGTCAGGAATGTAAAATATTCTATCCCGATGTAATAGCCTGAAGGATAGGTGCTTGCCTCAAGAACCGGAGGTTCTAGATTTTACTACTGGAAAGATGGACAGTTCACTGAGAGATCTCATACTAGAACAATATAGTCATTCAATAACTCTTGTCTTTCTATAGTTATCTAACGAAATATTATTCCGCCAGACATGAACTAAACATTGAACAGTCTCTTCTGTTATAAAACAACTTATATGTTTATGTATAACATTGTAAATGTTTGATTTACTTCTTCTTATCAAAAAGCTTTTGTTTGACTTAATTCTTTCTCTCCTGTAGAAGTAGTAACACATGGAAAGTGGTAAATTTACGTACAGGACTTGTAGGTTGCATTCCATCGGGGATTTTAAAACCATGCAATGCTCCTGGGAATGATTTATCTGTTACCCGTGATCGTCATACACTAACTACTAATAATACTGCCACATCGTCACCAAATACTATGGGGTTAGTAGCGAAAACACGTTTACGTATGAGTCGAAGAGGTTAGTCGAGATAATCATCCTTGTTTAGTTTTCTCTTTGTTGTTATCAATAACATGAGTTTTATTCTTTCAACTGACGTTGTATGAAATATATTTTTATCTTTCCAATATAAGCCGAATTTTTCGAAATAATTTTTATTGGTACCACATATATGCGACATGGTTAGTCAATAGAAACATGTGAAGTTTACATTTAATTAGATCATAGGTATCTTTTAAAAATTGATGATTGTCGTATGAGGTAGAACCATCGTATGATCTGTCTTGTGTTTAGTAAGAAACATTTAGAGAGTAGGTAGATAATAATTTAAACCTTAGGTGACTTCAGGGGTTTCCATACTTTTAGTCTTTAAGAGAATTTTCGAATAACTAGACCTCAATTTCTCACAAATAGCTACATTTTCTGGATCAAATCGGAGAGTGAATATCACTTTTAACACAACATAATTTATTCAAACTCTTAACACCTCTTACGACAATAGCTACTATGATTCAAATTAGAGAGCATCTAGTTGTGTGATCTAAATATTTTCGTAAATTTCATCATAAAAAGAATTTTATAGTGATGCATTTGATTTCTAGTTTGCTTTCGTTCCTAATCGAACTCAATTAGATTATCATTGAAAACTAGTAAATACTAGACAGTTTTCTACAAAACTTAAATATCCTTAGTTAGGTAGCTGATGGGTTAACGGATTTACTCTTTCGAAAATTTGTCCAGTGCTATTCTGTTTTCCAGTGATACTTCGACTGAGGTTAATCTTTAACGAGAATACCAACTATATCTGATGAGTTTCATTGAAATTATGAATCGATCAAAGTTAGTCAACCATCGAAGACCTGGAAGCACTGGACGGTCGATTCGTCCTAGTATAGGACTATTCGGCAGTGTGTATCCACGACTCTGCCTACGGGATTCGAACCCAAAACCCTCGGCCCCGCACGCGAACACAACCTCTAGATCACTGAGCCAGGAGCCAATTTTATACAAGTCTAACTCCAATCAGTCTACAATAGTACATAACCATCTATCATTGTCTTCAATGGATACCTTTCTCTAATTAGTGTCAATTTCCTTCTTCACTAAAGAAAAAAAGAATGATTTTTGTGATCAATTGTTGTTTCAATTTCAATTTAGCTTCATTAACAGATTTGGCTTTACGCAGTGAGTTATCTTCTATGTTTATAGATTTAACGGGAATAGTAATGCGCTCTCTTTTTTTGTTGCCAAAATTCAATTTTTTGTTGCTTTGCATAAAGAAAAATGATTGAAAATAGTTTATACTGAAAGTGTTTTGCAATGATGATTTATATTAGATAATCCCATTGATTGATTATTTATTCATCTTATTATCATCTATTGGCCAAATATTGTACTATATGAAAAAATAATGACAATATCACAATGTTCTCGTTTTTGCTAATGACTATTGTGTGTTTATATGTAAATATAAATCTTTTTCACCTAAATATTCTGCCATCTTGATGAGATATAATTGTGTAACGAATTTTTTTCATTAACCTATTTGGATTTCCCTTCCTTAATACCTTTGGATACCAAGAGAAGTCCATCTTCAGTTAGTCTTCAACTAACGCATAAGTTTATTTATTTATTTATTTGAACTCATAAATATTGGTATACATGGGCACCGAATACATATGCGCCACACAAATCTCATTTGATTTGTATGAGGGCTGTGATACTGCCCAAGTGCCTAGACGGAAGCAGGTGGTTTTATTAGGAGGCAGTGGAGCAACGTCAGGACAGGCAGTTTCGTGGTAGCCAGTAACCAATAATTGGTTCATACGTCATTTGTTCACTCAGGATCCTGGAGCCTATGTGTACCATTGTTTTGAAATCAGGGTTTTCCAACTCCCCTAGGTAGATCCTCCATATCCACCAACCCGACTAAAGCACCGAACATTCACTTTTCGTCCTCTCAATTCCGTAAACAACAGTAATGCCGTGAGAAGACAGTGAATAGAACTTCCCTGTCAGTAATGGTATGCAAATGGACATGTGAGAGCATCTGGAGAGAAAGAGCTGAATCTCACCACCATCGGTCGCACCAGGGCATTTGAAGGGTAAAGTATGTATCGGAAGTGGAATTCTAACCCATGTCCGCATCGTGGAGTGTTATCAGTTATTGCCGCACGTGTTTCCTACTAGTTTATCGCTTTTCAGTAAAAAAAAATCGTTTCTAATGATTTTTACCACTAAGGAGTATTAATGTGCAAAACCATATTTGTATCAATCTCAGCATTTCATCTTATTTGGGACTCGTCAGCTAGATGTACCTGCATCCTAGAGTTGATATTCATGCCGGGATTCAAACAACCAATACAAATGAATTATGTCATATATTTTAATAATAGTAAATATTTAGAAGTTATTACTAATGTTATTACTTACAAGAGCTTTTATTCCTTCACGGACAGATATACATAACATATTAATATTGAAACTTGATTGATACAACAGTCGTTCTACTTTTTTTCTTCTACTATTTACAAATTTTATTTCTGATTATCTGTTTAATATGAAACTATGTTGTAAACTAACATGATATGTTAATAGATTTCTCTCTTGGATATATGATATATCTTGCACATATTATGAATTGACACTTAATAATACATCGTTCATTTTTGGGAATTTACATGCATACACACATAAACACATTATCTCTTATCCTACTTCTCCTTTTCTATCACTCTCATTTTATAACATTGTTTACTTTCATATTTGAACTTTCATTCAAGTTTACTTTAAATTGAATTTTTCAATTATTTCCTCTCATTTTCAAGTATAATAATACTATCGAAGGTTTTTCATGAAAAGAACACTGTAAATTGAAGTTTGTTTATTCTTATTAATTGATATCATCTAGAGAAATGTTGAAGAACAAAGTTCATCTGGCAAATGGTTTATCCAAATTTATACTGTATTCCCAAGACGTTTTATGAAATCAAACCTAGTACTTTCAGGTTACCTAAAGATAGACAATATCATCATGGAATGTGACATATATGGGCATCGATTCATATCAACACAGTAAAATGAAATTATCAAGATAAGTCTCAGAGTAGTAATAGTTATAACAGTATTAGTCGTAGTAGAAAAAAATAGATCTGCACTGATGTGAGCGATTTCAAACCATATCGTACAACATCTCCAATCATTGGTTACGATAGTCGCGCGAACTACAGCCAGGTTGTCTAGACTTATCTACACTCCTCTTTTGAGACTCTCAATAACTTCATGAACATCTTGGTTTGCTTCTTCTAACTTTTTTCCAATCTACTTCTACACCAGCCAAAGGTGCAAATTGAGATAGGTGGTGTTTCAGTATAAAATGATGGAAAATACTTGCATCACATGATAAGGATGTTGAAGGTGTTGTTGATTTGAAATTACTTTGGTCAAGTCAACAGAAATTCTTAATAGCATAACACATATGATTCCCAGGAATAAAATAAAATAGAACAAATTGTCGCACATTTCACTCATCCTTAAGTTAGCAGATGGCCATTTCACCTGCATCACAAGAGATACAAGTTGGTGAATCCATTCTAAACTCCTGCCAAAATTTCTTCAAACACCAGCTCATCAGGGATGATGAGACTTCCAAGTCAAGTAATTTAACTTAACAAGGGAAGCTGATTCAATCCTTATGAGTAGTTCAGGCTTTGAAGATGACCGGTCTTGTTACAACATTTCGCATTTAGACTTGAGTGAACGTATGCTAAACTGCTCGTCATCTATCATTATAGCTTCAATAAACATATTATAACACATTTCTTTGTGGACTCCACTTTACTTAATTTAACTCGTTGAACCAAGGTAATTTAAATGAAGTATTTTATTACAAGTTAAGGAATTAAAGTAGTATTGTAGTGAACAAGAATACGAGTGGGAACCATCGGATATATTTGATCACAAACTTAAAGAGCATCTTATTAAAATCTGAGAACCATAGAGTAAATACTTGGTTTGCAAAATATCAATCCATTTTCTCAAACTTGACTGTTTTTTTTGCAAATATCACTCCATCGTATCAGATGTCATTGTTTCTGCGTTTTCATATCAATTGTTTTCCGTTCCCGTTTTTTCTTTCTCGATCTTCTACTGAAATACATTCTATTCCTGATTATCGTCATATATTTATATTTTGTTCAAATAAATAAGTAGCTCGCATCACAGTATCACTAGACTGCATGTATTTCATACGTTAATGAATAAATGGTTGTACTGTTTGCCTTCTCTATCGCGTTTTTGCCTTTATTTATGCCTGCGCTAAATACATGCTAGAGTTTATTCAATTGTGTTTTTCTGTATTTATTTTTGGAAATAATCACAAAGTGCGCGGTAATTTACAGGTATTATCAGGTTGATATAAAAGTTAAGGGAATATTTAAAAGATGATAGTAGATTATTTCAAAAGATTTGACTCACATATATTTGTTAATACATGTGTAATGTACAATCGAAGCGAAATTCATAATCAAAGGTGACATCAATTTAGTATTTAGTAATTGACTCATGATCTCAACTATTAAAATTACTAAAAGGTCTCCATAAAACTCTTGATGCTAACCAACATATGCTCACTAGTGACTGGCTTTAAGAGATATTTCCTGGAGTTCCAGTGAAAAGCAATGACCAATGCAGTTCAACTGGTTCCGTTGTGAGATGGTAACTCACTGAGTAGCATGGTGGATGTGTGGCTTAATTTCGTGGATTGGTTGAAGTTAGACATTAACACTGTTGGATGCTGGCCGTTTCAGTGGTCTAGAGGTTAGGCGTTCGCGCGCGAGACCGATAGGTCTTGAGTTCGAATCTCGCGAGGCACTATCGTGGGTGTGTACTTCTGAGGAGTCCCACAATCGGACGAAATGGCTATCCAGTGCTTCCATTTTTTCAATTGTGTTCTAACTTCAATTGACTTATGAATTCGACCACAAAATTATTAAAATCTCCTTAAAATCCCTTCTGATACTGATTTAGTATTTGACATTGATAAGGAGAAAAAATGGTTCAGCGAAGAGTTCTCGTTTTCTTTTAGATGAATTGATGTATTAAAACTGTACTATCACAAACGATAACAATCACAATAATAGTGATAACAGAAATTTTTCTAAAAATGATGATAGTCAGATTATCACATCCGACTGAGATATATAGTCGACTTTTCAATTTTTGCTAATTATAGCACTACATTTAGTAACTAACATTCTATTTATAAAGGAGAAAGAACTCATATATCACACTTACAAAAACGAAAAATAAGTCGTATGTAAGGGAATTTTACTCTAGTTTGCAATGTTCATTTATTGATTTACAACTAGAAGGAAGATAAGAAAATCAAGGAGCATAGAACAATAACCACGATAAGAGAATTACTATGATGAATCTCTTCATCTGTATATCCTTAAGCATTTCTTAACGTATTCGTTTATGTATGAATAGTTCTTTTCTAGTTCCTTTTTCTTTTTTATTTTCAATATAGAAACTGTTTCTCGACTTAACAAATTCAGTTTAATCAATCCAACAGATAACAATAGTAATAATAATAATAGTAGTATTAGTAGTAGTAGTGGTACATCACGTTCACGTATAAAATTAACTGCAGATCAAATAAGTTCACCACAAAATGATTTTCGACATATTGGTCATGTTGGTTCAGATGGTCGAACATTTGGTGACATTGGTTTAGTTAGTAAAATGATTGATTTGAATGGTTAGTTTATCGATTTTTTTCTGAATATCATTTTTGTTAATTATTTTAGAATAATTTCTTTTATAAAATATATGTTCAATTGATTTGTTTATTAACATTGGTTAAATTAGTGTGTGTAGTCCTTCTTAGTAAGTTGGTGGTTGGAGGTAGTCAACAGGAAACCCTTGACCCGGGTTTCGTGCTACTTGGCACTCGTCAGCAAGGTGTACCTGTAATCCTGAGGGAACTGGTGCTCCCTGACGGATTCGATCTCGTGTCACCAAGCTTCACAGTCAGAGACGTTTACCACAGCTGTCCGGGCCTTTAACCACTATCTTATCTCAACATAGTGTACGTAGTGTCGAGTCACCTAGACTAGTGGCCACATTGCAACTTGGTCGATAGTATTCGATCTGCACTAAGAATGACTAGACACACATGACAATGATCACCACTCAGTGATCAATCAGTTGGGATTAGTCTTTCTTAGTAATCTCCAATTATATTGCAATGTATTCACTAGTCTAAATGCCTTGACACATCACCTGCACTAAGTTTTGCTATTAAGTGGTTCGAGGTATTTGGTAGGAAATTGTAAACCTCAGTTTCTTGCTAATTGTTACTCACTCATCTAGAAGACCTTTCTGCATTTTTGAGGTAACCGATGCTGTTTTATGTCATTCGAATCCATATCACTCAACTTTACAATGTGTGACATAGTTTTAGCTAACATGAAACATAGATCCCAATGATATCCTAGCAATTATTGCCAATCATCACATTATATAATTAATTTGCGAAATGTAAATAATATTGAGGTATCCATCCTAGGAGCTCATATAGTAACAGACATTCAACAATTCAGTTCTTATAATTTACTAAAATGTATTTAAATTAACCGACTTAACATTAAAACTTGTCATGTAAGTATGAATCAATTCAACATTATGTAAAAATTTATTCTAGTCTATTCACTTATTTGATATGAAATTAATCAAATATGAATTATATTTTTGTTTGTATAGTCTGTATTATGTAACTAACAGTTCACATTTGTATCTCTCTAATTTTTTCACACACACCATCGTAGTAAATACAATTATTTCTCTCTTTCTATTTACTTTTTGTTACTCATCAACGGTTTTTTTGTTTGTTTTTTCTCTCATAATCCATAAACATAATTACACTTACTATTTCATTGTATAACGTGCTTTATCTCTTTAAGAATTGAAAAAATATATATTATCGGTAAATAGAGTGGCTGACAATTTATGTTCCTCTCTAATACAATTTTGTTCATTTCATCATTATCTACTTAACGAAATAGTTAATGATCCCATTGTACATACATATTTATGCTCCCGTTAGTTATGAAACCATGATCCAATTCTATCTGTATGTATGTGTATCTACGTATATGTTGATTATTGTTTGTAATTAATGAATTGGTTTAGTAATTAACCTCTAACAATTAAAGTGAATTGTTCGATCAAGAAGGGAAAGGTTATTAATTTTATATTGATTGTTTTCATATCAAAATTTAGTTCATATTTTCAATAGATAACTCATATATAAACTGTATAAACTTTTCTTCTTAAGAACATCGTAAACCAACCAGTGCTATTCTTATTCTTAATTATTATTGTGGAAAACTACTCAATAATGTTGTTTACACTATTTTTCATTAACATTCTTATGTGTTCAAACTTCTGGTTTCAAATCTCCCAACTGGCCGCCAATCAATAGCATATTTATTTATTTATTTAAACACATAAACATTGGTACAACGAGGCACCAAATATATATGCGCCACATAAATCATTCGGTTTGTGTGAGGACTGGGATACCGCCCAGATGCCCAAATCGAAGCAGGTGGTTTTCTCAGGGGGTAACACCCGGAACCTTCGACCTAAAGGTCTGATCCACAAGGCAATTGAGCAGCGTTGGGTGATGCAGTCTCATGGTAGCCGGTGAACAACGATTGGTTCATACGCCATTTGTTTCCTTAGGATCCTGGAGTCCATGTGCACCATTGGTTTGGAATGAGGGTTTTCCAACTACTCTATGTGGAATCTCCATACCCACCAACCCGGTTTTAGCGCCGGACATTCGCTTTTCGTCCTCTGAATTTCGTAAAGAATATTAATGCCATGAGAAGACAGTGAATAGAACTTCCCTGTCAGTAGTTGTATGCACATGGTCATTTGAGAGCATTTGGAGAGAAAGAGCTGACTCTCGGCCGTACCAGAGCATTTGGAGGCAATCAATAGTATAAAGAATTTAGGTAGTATGAATAAAAATGAACTACTTTGACGCGTATCCACATAATTTTTATTGTTTTTTAAATCATCCTAGCTTAGGTATCATCCTATAAACTTTATCCCTAAATTCAGTTTAGACAAAATAACTAACGCTCTTTGAATATACCATTTCTGTCACTCCCTAATTGTATCTTTGTTTAGAATCAACTTTGTGACCTCCAGTTAACAAAAAAGGTGATTCAATTCAATACATTGTAGTAATCAAAAGAACAGATTTATGTTCATAGTTTTTTTAAGCCAAACATTTTGTTTGATACATCAGTAATAATAACACTACCGATTTGTTCTGAAACTGAAATATATAAAGTAGAAGGTGAAAATGTAACACATTGTCTCAGAACTTTTCTACTTCAGCTTCTCGTTTTATCTTAGGTGATGTAAAGTAATTGAATAGATTTAGTAACATCAATTAATGCCGAAACGAATTGTTAGGACTCTACATATATCGCTCAACAGAATCTCTGGAGGGTGAGATAGCGCCAGGAAATGTTTTATCCGGGTACCATTGGACAGAAGCTTCTCAGAAACATCTAGAAATGTGAGGGGTTATGTGTCACATTTGACTGAATAATTACTTATATTGTTACCAATGTCTAATGGTTCCAGAAGTTTCTAAGAGACTGAGACGATTAAAACTTTATAAACACACTCGATTTTCCCTTCATTATTAACCGCTTGTTTAAATTAACATGTAGAAAGTAGTCTAAAGGATTGCCCAGGACATGGTTGGATGGAGAATGCTGGTGAGCGGCCTATGCTTCTTCACGAGCAGTAACAGGCGTAAGTAAGTAAGAAAGTAGTCTAGGGTTATAGATAGCGTCTGGGAAGTCATTAACTAGGGCTTTAGATACAAATTTATCAACAATGAAGTAATGTATCTCGACAATTAGTTTCCCATGTTGTTTGTAGAACCAAGAAGCTAGATTTCATATGACTAAAAAGCGTATAAAAATTTCAAGAATACGCTTGAATAAATTCAATGTTAATAATTTAAAATCAAACTAATGAAGAGTCCTATACTAGGACAAAATGGCCATCCAGTGCTTCCAGGTTTTCAATAGTGGTCTAGCTTGGATCGAATTGTGAATTCCACTGTGGAAACAAATAACCTATTTGTCAGTAATGACGATTTTATCGTTGAGATGAACTATTGACACTTTTGTTTTATATTATTGATAATCTTATTTGCATAATGCAAACAAAACTAGGTTGATACAAAATACACTTGAAGAAACAGTGTAATGAGGTTCATTTTTGTAAAAAGGTGAAAGAAAGATGGTGGAATATTTCAGAAAGGAATTGAATAAACAAATAATCTCAAGAAGATTTTCTGATAACGTTTTTGTAAACAAACGGGTAATCTCTCTAGTTAACCTTTTCATTTACATGTTTCTTCAGTCAATCTCATTTAAATAAGTAATAAAAATCTATTACATAAACTTGGCGGGATTTGTTTGACCTTAATTTAATTCTCGGTATTACATAATGAAAACAAACAATTGGTGTTTATAGAATTAAGAAGATTTGTGGAGAGGCGAACCAATCAGATTTAAGATAGCAGATCTTGGATTTTGACGCGTAATTCACTCACTCATTTGACCAAACAGCATCTTGACATTTTAGCTTATGTCAGTTCGTGATGAAAAACTATATCTAATTCCTAACCCTAACTATCAACTGTGAATCATAATTCTTATTTTTCAAACTGCTTTACAACTCTCATTTATCCCTAGTAGGTAGGTAAATACTGTCAAGGTCACTCTGGCGTCGCTCAAGGTCGTCCATAAATTATAGTCTAACCAAAAATGCATTATCGTTATTATTATTGTTGTTATTTTTATTACATCTTTAAACAATATGAAATAGGTTAGGTGTTTCACTCCCCTCACAACTCGTCAGTTGGATATACTTGTTTATTACAATATTGATATTCACATCTAGGCTCGAACCTGATAGTAGTTCAGGTGTCATACATCAATGTGTTATCTGTTAAATTTCCAATTCCAGGTGGCTACTAAACTTGGCCGGTGGCCAGGAATGAAATTGTTTGTAATTATTCCATTGTTGATATATTACCAGATTGATCAAAGGTCAGTCTTGATTAATAACAACAAGGAGGAAAACAAATGTTTACAATCAATAGTAAATTCTTATACTATTTTGAATATAGATAGTAGTTTGATAATAAGATTAGTGAATAGATTCAGTAGTGAAACGTAAGTTTTCATCTGTCATATTCAGTAATTTTGTCATATCATAATCCATTTCAATCATATTTAACTGAAACAATTACAGTAGATGTAAGAAATTCCTTCTAAATTTGAACGACTAGTTTCATAGTATTTGGGCGTTTTAATTGATGTAAAACATTAAGGAAGAAGAATGTACTTGTAAAATCTTAGTGAATGAATTTCGAGTAAATCCAACATTTTCATTACACACTCAAACAAATACCTACTTTAACCATTGTTAACATGATTGGATGACCTATTTAGTATACAGTTAACCGAAGAACCATACACCTGATGTTTGATTGTATTTCCATGAAAAAAATTTGGACTAGATTGTCAAGCGAAATGTTGAATTTACTTCAAGTCCATTTGTTGAGGTTTTACAAATACAATGTTCCTCCTTATTGAATCACAACATAGTTATAGTCTGTCGTACCAGTTTTATGATATTTATTTATTCTTAACATCTCTACAAGAAATCATTGTACATTACAACATTGATGTTGTAAACATGTTGATGCTTATGATTTTTATGACTAGACTAATTAGCATATGACTTGAATGAATGGTTTATTGATATTAGTTTATGTTATTTATTCTAATCACCTCCACTCTCTCCTTTTATTATGGTTTCAGTTAAAATCTTCCTTTAAGTTGTATCCATCTATTCAGTTGCTTACCATTTATTCGAGTTCTACTGATTTTGATGGAGTTTTGTTCTCTGAGCTGGATGGTTTGGTTATAGAGCTTTCATCGTTCTTCTGAACGACATCCTCAGCACAAACTTCAGATAGAAGCTAAGTGTTCGAATTTCTCCACATGTGGTTCACAGCTTGTCCTGTAGAACTTGATGTTGATTGATTCTTGTTGACCTTAAACCTGTCATTGTTTACTTCTTTGTTTTGATTGTATCTCGACGACCAAACTATCCAGTTGAGAGAACAAAACTCCATCAAAATCATCCACCTGAACTACAAATCTTCTCCACGATCTCAGTCTTACTGTTTCATTTTCTTGTAGTCTCTTTCTCTCTCTATTTAGAATTTTGTTAATTGCTACTAACGATGTACATAAGAATGCATCATTGTAGTCACACGGCTTATCATCCAATATTCCTACATTTCAATACGAAATAAGATATTGTCGAGAGAGAGAGGTAACTATTGATCCTCATTCATTCACTGATTGAGTTGATATCTCATTAGTAGAGTATAAAATCTGTTTTTTTTCTTTCTAAAATGATCTATTCTTTTTATACAATAGATAATCTCTCTGATTCTCAATCATTTCACGATTTTACTGTATCTGAAGAAAAATACAAATCCAATAAATCGAATACTTTGCAAATTGTAAGTTATCACTTTATTTGTTTTGTATATACAATCATGTTGTAGTTCAGTAATCATTTTGTAAAAGATAAAACAGGATTCGAACTTGTAACCCTTAGTTAGTTTAAATATTCATCTAACAAATACATCTTAAAATGTTTCATTCTACTCTAGCTGGATTACCATTTATCGTTAATAGTTTTAGTTAGAGAATTTGTGAAAACCTGTGTTAATTTATTCGTTGCTAAAGTTGTACAATTACTTGAGAACAGATGGACATAAGATAGATATGTTTTAATTTGGATTTTGACTACTTTCCCGTATGTCCCCTTAAACACACATTAATATAGGATTGAACCGAGGATTTTCAGATCTTGTAGAAAACAAAATATTTTGAGACCATCAAATGATTAACGTACCAGGTTTATATATATATATATATATATATATATATATATATATATATATATATATATATATATATATATATATATATATATATATATATATATATATACCATGATTATTTCGACTCCGTTACCATTCATCTTGTTGATTTCATTTAGTCTTCGCAATGTATCGTATTGCAACTTGGCTTACATAATTTTTTCTGGTTAGCGTTTTTTTAGCGAGTTGGTTTTCTACGGGGTGGGGTCGCTAACCACATGCCCGACCTTCCTCCTTTATCCGGGCTTGGGACCGGTAGTAGCCCGAGAGAGGCTCCTGGCGGAGTTATGGCAACTTGGACCAACACATATTTGTACTTTGCTCTACGCTTATTGTTATTATTGACTGGCAGTCTGAACGCATTGCTTAATTTAAGAGATTTAATTAAATTAATCTTACTCTGAGAAAAAATGTAAACATTAATAATAATAATGAAGCTATTAAATTGAAACCTGAACGTGTGTATAATAATAATAATGGTACTGGTGTCATACACAGTTCCTTTTGTTATTGTAAAGATAGCAATTTTTCCGTTTACTACTTATACTTTTACTACCTCTAGCACTACGGGATTTGAATCGACAATTGTATCTCTGTGTTAATGTGGTATGGCAACTCGAACTGATGTACATACGTACGAAGTTCTATGTTGTTACTGACTGACTGATTCTCGTCAGTTGCTTATAACTTGTAATTCTTAAATATCATAATCACGAAATGGGTTTAAATTACTGACATGATATGGTTTAGTTAGAAGATACCTTGAAGGCATATCAGTGTGGCATTTATAGAGCAAAGGTGTCCGTAATATGAATAGACTGAATCAATTAAAAGAAGAAATTAAATTATCAAACTTACCTGAAATAAATAAAAATACAAACAGACTAAACAAATAGAAAACAATCAAATAGAAACCGGACAATATTATCTACAAAGTGATTAACAGCACAATAGAAAACAATCTTAAAATGTGAATAGCTTATGCAAAGAGCCAGGTTAGACAACTACAAACGGATATCCAAGAACTCAATGAGCAAATACACAATAGCTACTCAAAACTAGACAGATTTGTTAAATATAATTCTACTATCATTGAGAAAAGAGAGTTGATATAAAATATGTAAATGAAAATTGCAACCCGTAATTTGCCAGTATAGTAATGATCATGGTAACAAACAAACGGAAATTATAAGAACAGATATTTTTGCGTGCCCGATAAAAAAAATTGTCTAAAGCAATACGAAACTCAACGATGACTTACAAGCACATCTCATTCATAAAAGATAACTAAAACGGAGATAGTCGAGTGGAAGCAAGAAGAAGATCATTCAGTTTTGATCAACCCGAATAAAAAGTAGGAAGAACAACACTCAGTAATTACAAACCACTTGTGAACCACGTAAGAATGATGTTGGCAGTTGTTTTGTACACTAATCACATATATAAACTGATGTAATTAATTATCTTTGTTTCGGATTTCTTCGAAATACTATGAGTTTTTGCTGGTTTTTATTCTTTCCTTTACATGTAATGGTTTACCATTACCAGAATGAGTAAAGCTTCGACTTGAGTAGTATGTATTTCGATCATAATTACTCATAACTAACCTCATCTTGGTTAACCGTTTGTTAAATGGCAATAGACATTTGTACTTGTTTTATTACTGATTAAGTGTTTATGTGTGTGTATGAATACTCATTCCCACGAAAACAATATCATCATCAATGGGATGAGTATTTAATCTGACTCATCGACGCATATATACACACACATGCACATCTTGGTTTGTTGTTTTTACAACTTAGTCACCGTTATCTGATTTTTAAATCTCAAATATAAGTTGTTGGGCGTTGTCATATCAACATGTTTGGTTAATGTTTGAATATTAACCAATCATATGACTTTATACACTATATTTAAAATCAATTGAATCATTTAAACAAGTCATTTAGTCGTATTTATCCCATCAATCTTTATTATTCCTTCATTATTATCTCAATATAGTTTTAATCTTCTTAATTTAAGCATTCACAGTTTTTGGTGTATTTTCAGTTGTTTATTGATAACGCTTATTCCAGGTCAATTCTTCTACAAACAGATTGTTTAAAAAGGAAAATACAAGAACTATGCAAGGCTAGGACGACCGTCAATCTATATTGACGAATACAACGATTATATTTGTGTGTGTGTTTTTATGTAGATAGATGAAGATATCGATAAATTCAAGTGCTTTAGTCCGACGGTTGTAATATAGTCTATACATACTTACTTACGCCTGTCACTCCTCGTGGAAGAGCATTGTTCGTCCACCAGCAGCACTCTCCATCCAACCTTGTCCTGGGTAATCCTTTCTAGTTCTTATCCATCTTTTTCATATCTGATTGTATTTCCCGACGTAATGTGTTCTTTAGCCTTCCTGATTTCCGCTTCCCTTCACGTTCAAACCTAAATCTAGACTGATGATAGCTTCATTACTAGGATGGTAATCACCGGACAAATTGTTGGCTTTTTTTACCCATCATTAAACTATTATGACTGATTATTACCATTTTCAAAATTATTACCATTACCAGGCTACAAGTTTATGGAGTGCGGAATGTGTGTCTGTGGTACATTTTTCATTGATGCGTGGGCGGGTATGGGACAATACATTTAAGTCACAATTGTTTTAATGTTATTCCCTATATGTTCACAATTGATAATCTCACCAACTAATGTGATTATAAAATGTTTAAAACAATATTTGATTGGCCTGATTGTTTAATTTATTGTGTGAATGACCTATGTGGGTCATGATTGCATAGAATAATCAATTGTTGGCCAATTTTATGCACTCTATAAATGGGTATGTTTGTGTGTGTGTGTGACTATGGTTACTCATTACCTCGGTTTTGCCCAAGTTAACTAGGTAAATAGAATGACAACTGACTTTGCCAACTGAACATCAGATATACCTATTGATTGATTGATGTGTGTTTACTACGCATTACTAATTTTCTCGGTTACAAATTATGCTAAATCATAGAAGGATTATTTACTAATTTTCAAAATAAACCGTCAAATCATTTTGTAACTACTAATTTATTCATGTTAACTGTACAAAGATTCTTATTTGATTTCTGTATGATGTTATGGTTGGATGACAGATAATCTCATGAGTAATCATCATCATCGAAGTTATCCCATTGATATAAATGAGCTTTGCCTCAGTTTTATCTTTGGTTCGCATCCTTTTCGTTAATCTGGTTGTTTCATGTTCCATTGCAATCACAAACCGATCAAAGTTAGCTACGAAACGTTGAAAATATAATTTTTCTAGTCATTGGGATTGGTTGAAGTTAAACATTGATACCGTTGGATGCCGGCTCAGTAGTCTAGTAATTAAGCGCTCGCACGTGAGACTGATAGGTCCTGGGTTCGAACCTCGCGGGGAGGTATCGTGGATGCGCACTGCTGAGGCGTACCACAATAGGACGAAACGGCCATCCAGTGCCTCCAGGTTTTCCATGGTGATCAAGCTCCAATTGACTCATGATCTCAACTATTGAAAGATATATTTATTATTAAATGAAAATGATGATAACTACTACCAGTCGGTAGGAAGACCATCTAAACGAATTGACATAATACTTATGGCATAATCAGAATGTTAACTTCCAATGTCGTTGGACAGGACAAAAATGAAAGCTATCACTGCTTACCTCAGCAGGCGATGTTGTTTGGTGTAGGGGTTAGCTGGAAGAAAGCTAGGGGCTCGAACCAAAACATAACACTAGTCCATGAAGTCAATGATAATTGGATTGAGCTGTGTTATTAGGTGCAGACTACTTAGTCAGAATCCACGTGATTATCGTGACCAATGGTTAGAGACTTTAAATGATATGGCTCAAAATCATTTGCGATGGTACAGGTGCATCTATTCTTTGTTTCCCTTCAAATTCTGAACTTATAAATTCCTTAGAACCTTTTTGTGTTTTTATTTCACTAATTTATGTTTTGTCCTCGAATCATATGTTCGATGCCTAATCATTTCAACCATCATTGATACTATTACTGCCTTCACTATTCTTAGGTTTTACCTGACAATTTCATCTCTCTATGCTAATTTGGTATAGCAATTTGAACCAATGTACATACATACTAGGTTCTACGTTGTAACTGACTAAATTAAACATTCATTTAGTCAAAATAAAGCAGCACTATTAAAAAATTACACTTCTTCCTACAAACATTCTATGGTAATACTCTGTTGTTGTTGTTTTTTACTTCTTGATGATATTGACTACAGTTCTATTATACATTCTTTCTTTATAGAATTCTTCGAATATTAAAACTTATCAAGAAACAACAATGAAACATATTTCGTTACCAATAACAACCAACACATCAATAATTGGTGATTCGTCTATGACAAAAAAATTTACATCAAAGAAAAACACTCAAACATCAAATACTCTCTTGACTACTAATTACAATAAATCTATAAATAAAGATGATACAGATTTATTATTCGATGATATCAAATTCAATGTGATCTCTGAATCAAATGTTAGTTGGTATTTTTTTTAAAAACGTTTTCCTACTTATTTGAATCATTTTATTCATGAATTAATATTGTAATAGTAGTAGTAACTAGATCATTAATGTTCTAGTTGTCTTTACAATCTTGGATTTAACACCAACATAACTCAGATCAACAATTTGTAACGTTATCGATCGATCAGTCAGTGATCTTGAGTGCTGTTAGAGGTATGAGGGCGGTTATCACTCCCCGGTTGCCCACACTGTGAAAGGGTTCTTCTAAAGGTACCTGAAAAGGAAATTGGGTTAGGGGTGGTCTTAATGACCTGAGAGCGTGACCGCAGTGCCCAAGGGACAACTGCTTGAGGTCGGTTACACACGATCTTTGTATGAGTTTCCGTGGGATAAGACGAGGTGTGTATTTTTAGGGTCGACCTTTTCCAACCCGACCCCTCTTTGTGGGAAGGTAGCATCGCTCTCATGCTGGTTGTCTGAAGGAAACACCTTACTGCTGTCACACTTGTGTACAGTTAGCAGTACGGCTTCGCCTTCGGACCTTGGGTTTGCAGCTTTTAGTCTTAACCCTTTTCAACAGACCTGTCTAACATAGTAGGACATTGAGGAATGACTGTTCCAGCCAGTATAGCTCGATTGGTTCATCACGATAGGCAAGCCCAACCACCACGTCATGGTAGCAACAACGGTTGGACATCGATCGATCGTACGTATTGATCTACCCACCCATGACATTTTTTTCATATTATTCTTTTACTGGCCATCGTGCCCTAAACAACTCAATAGATTCAGGTGTATCATTTCATGATTTAACTCATCTTATGCACTTCATCAAGGCTGATACGGTTTGTGAGACTAGTTGACTGGTCGACCTCTTTGACTACTTCAATACGTATAGTCAAACTTGGCAGAACATAGTCCTTATACGAAATTGTACATTAACGTAAAGAGAAACATATCTTAAAAATTCTTGCATTATTATTCATAGAATTCAAGACACTGTATTTTGTCAGCAACTTCACACTATTGAACTATGTCATGTGTTTACTCTAAATCTCTTAGTTATGGAAATCAATCCTTGAAAAGTCAAATAAATATAAATAGCATATTGTTATTTTAATACATATTTAGTTAATTAACAACATTGTAAGGTTGATTAGTAGATTTCAGTTTGGGATTGTGGAGATTGTTGAATTCCGTTGAAATCATGAACCGATTAGTATAAAACCATCATCTAAAACCTGGAAGCATTGGAAGGCCATTTCGTTTTAGTATGGGACTCAGCAGTGCTCGTCCACGATCCCTCACGTGGGATCTTAACCGTGTCAAGTGTGAGGCAGCTACTCACCGAAGACAATAGAAGATGCTAGCGTAACATCATGGATTGGTCGAGGTTAGACATTAACGTCGTTGTATACCGGCCCAGAAGTCTGGAGCTTGAGCGTTCACAGGAAAGATTGTGGATGCGCACTTCCGAGGACTCCCATACTAGGATAAACAACCGTTCAGAGCTTCCATGTCTTCCATGATGGTCTAGCTTCAATTGACTCATGAATTCAACTATAAAATTACTAAAAAAATCTCCACAAAACCCCTTTTGATAATGATCATCGTATGCTCACTAGTGACTGGCTGCAAGAGGTATTGAGATGGTGGAGAAGATTTGTAGCTCAGGTAGATGATTTTGATGGAGTTTCGTTCTCCGGGCTGGATGGTTTGGTCATGGAGTTTGTGTTGGTGATGTCGTTCAGAAGAATGACCAAACCATCCAGCTATGAGAAAGAAAGTGCAAGAGGTATTTCTTGGTGTTCTAGTGAGAATCTGTGACCAGTGAAGTTCAGCTGGGTCAGTTGTGATGTAGTGAAGGAGGACAACCGAATATATTTAACACAATCATGAAGTAAATGCTTAATTTGCAAAATGTTCACCGATTGTCTCAAAATGACTCAGACTTCATTGTTCTTGCATTTTCATACAAATTGCATCCTGTTTCCATTCTTTACTGTTCGATCTCTCTGCTGCCAGACCTTCTGTTCACGACTAACATCATATACTACTTATGTCAATATAAGTAGCACATACCACACTCGTCTCCCCTTCAAAGCAATCGTTCTCGCTGTGGTTCATGCTCGCCATGCCACATTCTCCGTTTCTGCAATCTGTGCTGCGCTCTCCGTTAAAATGTCGAGTCTGCGGAGCTCTGACCATAGCTCCGTCGACCTGCCGGGTCAACAACATCCGACACCATGTCGGCGCCTAGGACGCTTAACACCCGTGCTCCACCGGCCTGCTGAGCCATCCACATTCGATGTCTGCCCAGCAGCCGCACGTCCCATGGCTCCTCTCCGTCGATAGCACCCGCTACATACATTAATTCAATAGGATAAGTTTCTGCAAATGTTATCAATAAAACCATATTACATAATACTGAATCAATATTTTTTGGTGAAATATGCATTAGACAAAGTTGTCTATTCTATGCAAGTTGATTTATTAGTCTATTTGAAAGACACATATCATGTATACTCTGAAGAAAAAAAATGTTTTATAGTTTCAGAGTTTTATTTCACATAAAATAACAAAGATTATAAATAAATTCAGTTAGTCAATATGTACTGTTACCATGTATTTCTTTTCTCATCATCCTTAGTTCAAGGTATCTAAACTTGTAGGATAGTTTCCATTGTAATTACTTAATCTTTGTTTGTATGTCACACAGACGAATAGATTTATTGTTATATTAACTGAATAAAATCAATGGTAATAACTAGTAGGGTAGGGGGAGGGAGGTTGAGACACAATATGATAATCATTCCTTTTGTTAATTTAGTTCTGATTCTATGCATTACTGTATATCCGATTTACTTTGTCTCCCTAACTCCCTCCCTCTTTCTCTCTCTACCGAATTTGTTTAATTACAAAATGAATGGTTGTTTTTCTCTATATATACATTGAATGACTAGGTCTGTATACAAAGATATACAATATTTGTAGTTAGGTTCATTCTAAAAGTTTAGTTTGCTTAGAAAGAAAAAAAAAGAAAACTTTTCATTGACCTTGATTTGAAGACATTTAAAATTTGTAATAAACATTCTTGTTTAAAATAATAAATTTCTGATAGTTGAGATCATGAGTAGTCAATTGAAGTTAGACCACCATGAAAAACCTGGAAGCACTGGACGGCCATTTCATCCTAGTATGGGACTCCTCAGCATTCAGTGAGCATCAACGATCCCATCTGGCGAGTTTCGAATCCAGGACCTATCAATCTCGCGCTTGAGCGCTTAACCATTAGACCACTGAGCCGTTCGGCATCCAATGGTGTTAATGTCTAACTAATGTCAACTAATCCATGAAATTGAGCGAAACATCCACCATTGTCTACTATTTTAAATTTATAAATGATGATTGCATAGTAATAGTTAATTATATTTTATTATAATTTTATTGTAATAAGTAGTAGTTAGTTAAAATATTGGGTTAGATTTTAATTTTTCTATCCTTATATGTACATTGTAGAACTTGAGAAAAAATGTGTTGAATTCATGGGTCGGTGTAAGCTAGACCACCATAGAAAATCTGGAAGACTCAGTAGTTTAGAGGTTATGTGTTCGTGCGCGAGACCAAATGTCCTATGATCAAGTCTTAAGTGTGGTATCGTGGATGCACACTGCTGAGGAGTCCCATACTAGAGCGAAACGATCATGCAATGCTTTCAGGTGTTCCATAGTGGTCTAGCTTACATGGGCTGATGAATTGTACTATTAAAATTACTAAAATCTCCGCAAACCCCCATTCTGGAAAAATATGTCACATTATTACAATGAAAATGAGTGAAAGGAAGTTAAATTTGAAAAAGAAATTACCTAAAAATGGTGGTATCGTTAAGACTATGGTTCAAATCGATAAATAGAAAGTAATATTAACAATTAATATTTAGAGAAACACGCCGAACAAACGCATCTGCGATCGGGCTTTTTTGAAGTCTTCAACTGTTGATCTTGGTTATCGCTTTTACTCTGACTTGATAGTTAACACCTTCCTTCAACCTACTTAGATTCTAGTCAGTATTTCATACCGTGTTATAGATAGTTAAGTATGGGTAAAACGTTTCCTGATCCCTTCAGCTATTGATACCTATAGTATCATGGACCAGTTTACCTTGTTTGCTTAGTACTCTAAGGGTGACCAAATTAATACATCACACTAGTCCATGAAACCATTGACAATTTGATAGAGCCATGTTAATAGATGTGGACTACTTGATTGGGATCCACATGATTAGCTTAACCAAAGGTTAGAAACTTGGAATGACATGGCTCTGAATATTATGCAGTAGTGCAGGTGTATTTACTCTGTGTTGTATTTGAGGATCTTGAATTTTCCCTTGTGTATGTTGAGGCCTACTTATGCAGATGCTGCTGCTACACTGGCTGTCTGCACCTGAATTTGTTGGTGTGTATGGGATACAAGGGCCAGGTTATCTGTGAAGTCCGAATCGTCCAGTTGTATCCAACCTTCCCATTGTATTCCGTGCTTCCCCTTGAGGTGTGGAGTTCTTCGTGATCCAGTCAGCCACCAGAACAAAGAGTAAGCGGGAGAGTAGGCAGTCTTGTCTGACACTGGTCTTCGCTTGGAATGTATTTGTTAGCTGTACTCCATGCACCACTTTGCACAGTAGTCGGTCGTATGATGTTGACGATTTTCTCAGATTCACTGTAGTGTCGAAGAAGTTTCCATAATGTTCTATCCACACTGTCAAACGCCTCATAGTCAATGAAGTTGATGTATAGTGACGAGTTTCATTCAATTGATTGTTCAGCGATGATCCGTAGTGTCTGTTCGATCTGTACACTACCGATCCTTACGGAATCCAGTCTGTTGACCTGAAAGCTGGGTGTATACTGAATCTTTCATCCGGTTCAACAACACTCTGTTGAAAACGTTTCCTGGTACTGACACTAGTGTGATGCTTGTTTAGTTTTCACATTTGTTCACATCTCCTTTCTTAGTTATCTTGATGAAGTATCATTCTTTTCAATCCGTCGGCACATATTCTTCCCGAATAGAGTGTGAAGTATGTCTGCAGTTACTTCTACGTCTAACCTCAGAGCTTCAGTTGGTATATTGTCAGGTGCTGCTGCTTTCCTACTCTTAATTTGTCTGATGGTCATCCTAATTTCTTCGATCTTTGGTGGAATGACATCTATAGGAAGGTAAATATTTTTGATCCAAACTGCAGAATGTACGAAGTCACTCATAATTAATGGCATTAGATTTTCATACTACATAGTATAGAGAAATCGAAGTTCACAAATCGTTATTATACGATCCTGATTTTGTGTTCTTACCACAATGATTAGTCACATTTAACTGAAGAGGAAAGTATAAACCATCTGGGAAGCAATCCGTTTCTGTATGTCTATTTCATATAAGTAGTTTGGTTGAAACAAGAAGTGTAGAAAATTCAAAAAGAGGGATATCTTGATTTAAGTGTTGCATTATTAGCCAATTGTTTTGGCTTAAAAAGGATTTTTTCTGTTGGTAACATTGAATTGTCTGCATCCTGGTCTATTGTTTCCTTCACAACTCATTTACCAAGTACACTTTTACATAATCGACTTCGATCCCCAACTGAACTTCTAAAGCTAGAATAAAGTCGTTACCAGTAAGCTATCAGTTGTAAAATTTAAGTTTTATAACAAGTAAATGATACTTCTGAACATTGATTACTTGTTTTTATGGGATAATATGGAACAGTGAGACATCTTAATCATTAAAATTTCAAGACTAATTTGTATTCTGTCGAGTTTATGAATAGATTGTAAAATTACATGAAGACCTTATTTTCAGCTCAGTTTGGAATAATGAATGTACATTTCTGAAGAGTCCTCTGCTAAGACGAAACAAAATGTCCAATTTCACTTAACTTTCAATGGTTATTTAACTAGCCTTTTGTTAGATGAATACATTTTTCACGAACATTTCACTTTATACCACTTAATTGTCAGACTCCATGCTAGCTACTTACAAGTAGTTTGATATTGCATTTGTAACTTGTAACTGCTATCTCACTATAATCTTGTTTTTATATTTACTAGGGGTTAGATTTAGGCTCATCATTACTAGATGAAGTATTCAAATGTTTTCCAATAGAAAAATCTACTACCAATGACAATATGCATCATAATCCTGATGGTGCTAAAAAGTTAAATGGTGTGACTACTTCTACTACTACTGCCATTACTACTAATAATGGGGATATTAAAGGTCATTCTAATTGTGGCGATTCGCTCCAAATGAATGGTACACGTATTGATGATTCTACAAGGTGAACATTTTATTTAGTAATTTAATATTTGGTTTTTCGTGTTTATTTTATCCAAATTTAGGTTAATTTTAGACCAGTTATACTATTTAAATTGACATATGCATATATTTCATCAAGTGTACTAACTATTAAAAATGAACGTGAATTACTGGTTTGCCAAATTGTGTTAAATACTAGGGACTAGTATGTCATCGCAGTTTTTAGGGCTTCATTACAATGTCTATTCATAACCTTCAAGATACTCATCGTGAGTAGTATGATGCAATTTTTTCACGGTATTCAACTTCCATGTACTATGATCCTCATAGAGTTTTTTTCTCTTATGTTATTATCTCCCTAGTGGATTGATAGACCTTAACAACTAATGGAAAAGATTATATCAATGTGTAAATGTACGATAGATCAACTTGATTGATGTGAATAGTATGACAGTGTGTCAATTAACGCATGCATGTAAAGTCGTGATATAGACAGTCGCCGGTCCTACTGGCCATGTAAGTGAATTTTTCGATAATCGGAGTCCTGATTGGGAAAATATAACATGCGATACTGATCACTATTTCAACCCACTATAAATTGATGATCATAAGACACAAAAATGGTATTAATAGCATTTTGACATTCTTGCAATTTAATGGTGTTCTGTAGACATAATAATATTGTGACATTTTAGGTATTTCCCATCAGTTGAATAAATCTTGCATGTAAGCGTAGTCACCATTAGGTTTCTTTCCAAAAGATTTGGATTCTGAATACATACTGTTCAAATCTTTTAAGTTCAGGGGATTGCTTTGCCTTTGCTAATGTTAAACTAATATTTCGTATGAGTTCAACGGTTCATTACTCGTATGTTTTGTCTTTTGTCTCATTGATGATTTAACATCAACATGTAGAATTGAAATATGATGTTTCTGTCATAATCCATGGTGGAATCAAATTTATCCCTGCATTACTGATTGAAAGCGGTTCTCACGATTTGACTGATTTTTGATTAAACAATTCAAAACCTCCTTTCACCAAAATGTTATGATGCTCATCTTGACAACATTGTATAAGGATCCACCTCACTGGCAAGAATGGAAACCATTGGTTATCAACTCATTGACTTAACAGTGCCATACTCGTTAATAAAAGTGAAGATTTTTGGGTTCAATTTTGTGTTACGTTATGAGCTTACTCACATTCTATTTTTCCAATTTTTTAAAATATATTCTAGATCGAATTCAACTGATTATTTAAACAAAGAATCCCCACCAACCAACAGTACCATATTTAATCAAACATCAGATTTGATTGAACGTGGCAAACATTCATCAAAATCAAATGGATTTCGTATTCCTTCTTTAATAAATAAAATTAATCGTTTGGAAATATCAATGCCATCTACTACTACTAATACTACAACCGCCACTACTATTACTACTGACAATTATATAAGTAAAAATGATAATAATAATAATTATGAACAAGTCAATGATGAATTAAATGATTCAACTTACACTGATAATACAATCATTAATGATAATCCTGTTGCTGTTGTTGTTGATGATGGTAATGATAATGGTGGTGATGACAATGATAATCGTCATCATCATCTTGAAAAGATGAAAATGGATAATAATGTTAATAATAATAATAATAATAATAAAACAGAATCAAAATTTTCATGGAAACGTAGTTCATTTAGTAGTTTAACACATCGTAGTTCATCAATATCAAAAGCATTAAATAAAACTAATATTATTAATGGATTTAATCAATTAGATAATGAAAATAATTATGATAATAAACGATTAACAATTAGTAGACCAATTTTATTAAGTCGACCAAATTCAGGTAAGTTTGGATATTTGCTTTTCTAGTTTTATTAACTTTTAATAGAACAAGATTAGTAATGTATAAACTTTTTAGTCTGTTACCATTTCCTACTAACAGAAAGCCTAAGGTATAAGTTATAAAAGTAGCTGTACTTTAGGATATAGATACGTTTGAATAATTTTTTCTGGTTAGCGTTTTTTTAGCGAGTTAGTTTTTTACGGGATGGGGTCGCTAACCCCATGCCCAATCCTCCTTTTTTATCCGGGCTTGGGACCGGCAGTAGCCCCCGGAGGGACTCCAGGCGGAGTTTTAGGATATAGATGTCTTGGACTAATTGTCCTTATATCGTGAAATGGTCAAATGAGTAATTGACTTATGTAGTTTCGCATCCTTGTTGAATAAAGTGGTTGGAACATGTGTTACGTATGCTCAACCGCCTCCTACCTTGATTTCAAATGTTAGATGGAGTACGTATGAGTTGGAAGAAAGCTAGAGATGATCAAACAAAACCATACCGTGTGTTTATGAAGTTAGTGGCTGAGGTTCTACATGTCACATGACTCAAAATCATTCATAGTTACACAAATGCATTCTTATATATCTTGATCTAGATCTTGATTACTAGTGCCTCTCCAAACATACCTTATCGAACCACATTTTCAATAGTCAGTCTTGATCATGATCATCGTTACAACGTTATATCACATTCGTCATTACATTTTGTTCATTTCATTTCATTATGCTAATGTGTTGTAAAAACGTGGGCTATCGCACATTTGTGCTGGGTCTCTTTATTGGTTATAATTGACGATTTTCAAAAGCGATGCCTATTATAGGAATATACATGAAATTGAGGTTCTAAAAGCTCTTGAATAATACACTAGCCTTGTTGACAAATTCCATAATTATCAAATCAGAATGAAAGAGGTCTAATCAGTCGTTTTCTGAATGTTTTTAATTGGTTAGAATTCAAATGATTCTATCTGCTATATGAAAGTTAGGGGCGGCCAGACCAAAACGTGACATCAATGCTTGAAGTCATTAACTTCTGGTTTGAGCTATGTTGGTAGATGCAGACTACTTGGTTGGGATCGGCGTGACTATCGTAACCAATGATTGGAGACTGTGTGTGACATGGCTCAGAATCCATCACAATGCTGTGGGTGTATACACTTTCTGTCTTCCTTCAAATTATGAGATTAAAATCGCTTCATATCTTTCTTTCTACGAACTGATTCTTTCTCTCTGTACTATATCCTTATATGTAATCTCTTTTTTTTATATATTACTACCATTGAATTAACTACTTCTATGAATTTGGTGTTCATGTTGTTGTGCTAATGTGGTATGACAACTTGGACCGATGCATGTATGTGCCTAGTCCTACGTTGTAGCTGACTGACTGACTGATCTACTACATGAATGAAGAGTATTCTTTTCAGTAAACTCTCAAGTTATACAATTATATATCCATACTAATGATCCGAAAAGTTCTCAGGCTTTTTAAGGAAAGCAAGTTGGTTAAAGTTATAGTATATAAATTAAAGATAATAATCTTAACTATTGAATAAACTAATTTGACTAATGTATTCAAAACCTTTCTTAGTCAGATATTGTTGTCTCTGTTATTTTCATTCAGAAATCGTTGTATTATTATTATTATTATTATTATTATTATTATTATTATTATTATTATTATTATTATTATTATTATTATTATTATTATCGGTTTAACATCACGATTAATCTCTCAATTACATGATTGATCTACTTAACACTCACCTCGACCTTATTATTTTATATGACTGTTTACACGCTAAACGTTTGATCTAATTTGTAGTTGCACGATTACTTCTCTCAACCTATCTGATTCCATATTCATTCTGATCATGAATCTTAAGATTTCATTTAATGTATAAACTGATTCAAGCTAACATTGCATATGAGTCATCCTAGTAAGTCAATCAATTAGCTACAACATAGGATCGGCCACATATATGCATCGGTTCAAGTTGCCATACGTCATTAACACAACAAGATGAACACCAAATTCATGGATGTAGTTAATTCAATCGTGATAATATATAAAAGAAACATCGCATATGAGGATATAGTACAGGAAGGAAGAATTACTTGATAGAAAGAAAGATATGATGCGATCTTAATCCCATAGTTTAAAGGAGGACAGTAAGTATATACACCTACACCATTGTGATGGATTCTGAGCCATGACACCATGAGTCTCCAACCATTGGTTACGATAGTCACGCGAACCCCAACTAAGTAGTCTGCATCTACCAACATAGCTCAGACCAGAAGTTAATGACTTCAAGCATTGATGCCATGTTTTAGTGTAGCCGTCCCCAACTTTCTTCCAACCGTCTCCAACACTAGTCAGCATTGTGGTGTGTGGTAATTAGTGTTTAGGTATACGTAACACGTGGCCCCACCACCTCAGTCGATAAACATTTACAACCTCATTAAATGATTTACCATCATTCAAACGTCATTTCATTTTATAATTCTAATTCACATACTTTAAATAATGCACTTTGCGCTTAACCCGCCCATTTGGATATATATAAATTTAGCACCTAAAGAAAATTTATTTTAAAAAAGAGAATATTCTTCATTCATTTAATCTGGATGTTTTAAACAATTCTATCTGAAATTGTTCATCTTCTACTTTTAGTAACTAGTTTTTGTATTTCAATATCGGTTCATTTTTTTTGTCTAATAATTAGTTCCAAAAGCAATACATATAATTAGTTAATAGTTTCATGTGCATCATAGACACTGACTACTACTGCTACTACTGCTGATTAATGAACATTATCGATTAAATTAGATGATTATATCCTGTTATTTATACTAATTTCCAATTATGCATGTTATTTCGAACAATCTTTATCGATACGATCATTTTTCTTTTGTCTCGTTATTACGTATAGTATTTTTGAATTTGTAACTGTCTACAAATCTGACTTCTTTCCCTTTACACATATACCCACACATATATATGTACATATCATTCTATACTTTCTCTTTTTTCTTTGTTTCCATATCACCACCCAGTTAAAATAACAGAAACAATAATAATAAACAAATATAAAAGCATGATTTTAGAGTAGATAAAAAGGAATTTTATTCATTATTTCGAAAATCTAATAAGAAGACGATAATTATCAGAACTATGTAATGATATATTATCGCAATACATTTCGAACAATTTGATCACACACTTGTTTAAAACATTTATATATGAAAAAAAAGTTAAAGATCAACTAGACTAGAAATGGGGTAAGGAGGAGACAAGGATGATGATAATAATAAGAGTAATGATAATAATGTGAACACACTCTGGATAATAAGTCAATATTGCCAGGATAGGTGTTTAAGGTGAGAACAAACTGTTTTTGAGTAAAGTGTTCAGTCACCATAAGTATAATAGTATTATAGCAAAAATGAAAATGCCAAAAAAAATTGTGTGAATAAAATACATAGTAGGAGAATTTAATCTTGTCAATTGAGATAATATGATTGTTGTGTGAATATAATATGTAATAAGGGGGGTGTTATCAAGGTAATTACGATCAACGAATTAGGAATGATGAATGTGACGATTAAGTCAGAGATAATCAAAAATAATGATAATAAGGTAAATAAAGGAAGGGGGTAAGAGGTTTATAATATTCAGTCTAAGATGGGCTCCTCCATGTGTGTATACCAATTCAACTGCTCCTGTGGAGCTAGTTACATAGGCCTTTATCCTTGCGTGTTCGTGAACATGTACCCATCTTGATTGGGAAAAGGAGTTACCAAATCGATTAACAGCACCATTCTTTCCCATTTGGTAGATAGTGAGCATCATATCAAAATAGAGGAAGCATTCTCTGTTTTATATCAAGTTCCAAAATATTTACCTCAAGGAGCCAGATTACGACTGCTTTACATAGCCGAAGCCATCTGGATCAACTCCAGAAGACCTAATTTATGTATCCAGAAAAAATATATTCAGCCTCTATGTTTACCGTGGCCTACCACTGGATCACCGAATACCTAGACTGAATATTATAAACCTCTTACTCCCTTCCTTTATTTCATTTATTTACCTTATTATCATTATTTTTGATTATCTCTATCTTAATCTTCACATTCATCATTCCTAATTCGTTGATCGTAATTATCTTGATAACACCCCCCTTATTACATATTATATTCACACAATTTTTTTGGGCATTTTCATTTTTGCTTTAATACTATTATACTTATGGTGAATGAACACTTTACTCCAAATCATCTTGACCTTTATTGAATGACCTTTCTCATTTGCAAATAATACAATTTTGAAGTATAGATATATCGTAACAGATGCAAACGTTCACCATTTCATAATACATCGCATTGTCAAATTCATTAAAACGCCTTATTTTTGGCCTTTGTAAAATATTATAATTATGGACTTATAACTGTAGAGCCTGATGATGAAGTTATTGAAAACAATTGTTCACTCAAATATTCTTCATTTTTGAAAATATTCTATGGGGATTTTTAAACTGTTTTTGAATACACAAACGGGGTTTGAATTGTCGTATGGCTAAGGCTTCAATAAACCTTAATATATATACGCACCTTTTTCACTTTTACACAACACCACAAAAGTCGAGTTAATATCAATCCTTATGACCTGTTTCGATTAGATATTTAGCAATAGAAGATGATGGATGTTTTTATAAATCTTTAATTCATTTATGTATATTGAATTTTGTTCATTCTAATTCTTATCTTTTTCTGGTTTATTTGTAAGCAACAATTAATTGAGAATTGTTGTGTTAATTATCTGAACGACTAGTGGATTATGAATATCACTGTATATTGTGTATGATTTTTGTATGAAATCTCTAGTGCTTTCAGGTTTAAAATAATGGTCTAGCTCTAATCGATTCATGAATTCAACTATTAATTTCCTAATTCATTTGAAGCTAGACCACCATGAATAATCTGGAAGCACTGGATGGCCATCTCGTTCTAGTATGCGACTCAGCATTGCACATCTACAACTCCATCTTGCGAGATTTGAACCCATGACGTATCGGTTTCGCGAATCTTGCAAGGCTAGACGCGCACTGCTGAGGAGTTCCATACTAGGATAAAACGGTTGACCAGTGCTTCCACGTTTTTCATGGTGGTCTAGCTTCAATTGACTCATGAATTCAACTATTAAATTACTATAATATCCACAAAACTTCTCTCTGATTAAATTTCGTTCCAGCCATATTTTCTTATTTTAGTTATCTCGATAGAACAATGAGAAGACGGAGTTGATATGAAAAATGTGATGTATTAGCGCTATACATTTCGGACAATCTGGTTATGCTACTTATAAGTAGTGAAAAATATCAACCTAAAATAAACGTTGAGTTGTGTGCTAGGAAACTTCGTCATCATTTGAGATGGCCGGGACACGTGTTACGTATGCCCAACCACTGACTGCCTCGACGTGCGATGTTCAGTGGTATAGGAGTAGGTTGGAAGAAAGCTAGGGGCGGCCAGACCGAAATATGGCACAAATCCATCAAGTCACTGACAAGTGGACTGAGCCATGTTGGTAGGTGTAGACTACCTGGTTGGGATCCGTGAGACGATAGCAACCGATGGCTAGAGACCTTGAATGACATAGATCAAAATGGTTTGGAATGGCGCAGTTGCATCCATTCTTTGTGTTCTCCCAAATTTTAATCTACTGAATTCTTCATGTCCCTCTCTTTTTTCTCTTTCCAAATTTATTTCACTGTATTATACTTCTTGAATAACATCTTCAAACCCTATTGTTTCCAATTACTACTTATACTTTTACTACCACTACCACTGTGGGATTTAAATCGACAACTTCATCTCTGTGCTAATATGGTATAGCAACTCGAACTGATGTACTTAAATATGAAGTTCTACGTTGTTACTGACTGCGTATTAGGAAATTTATAAATATTATCGGAGAAATTGTAGTCATATTACGGTAGAAGTAATACATTTGCGTGTTGTTATTATTGGTATTATTAGTTTTAGTATTTAACAGACAAAAGTTATGTTGTTGAATAAAGCATTTTATTTTATGCATTTCATTATTAAGTTACACATTCAACTTTAAATCGTCTACCATCCAATTCATCATCATCTTCAATTATTGGTAATCTAACTGAACCAAGTAGTTTAGGTAGTTCAACAACAAGTCGTGATAGTTCATTAACTGTTGTTTCATCATCATACAATGGTTGCAGCAGCAGTAGTGGTGGTGGTGTTGGTATCGGCTACGGTCTCGTCGGCCCTAGTATCGGTGGATATACATCATTAAATAATACTGCTGGTCATGATGAGTCAGCATTTACAGAACAACAACAACAACAAACTCAACATCAGTCTTCAATATCATCATCATGCTATTACGAGACATCTACAAATGGATCACTTTCACCAGCGTCTAGTCTATCATCTATGATATCGGCTACATGTGTTCCATCCCATTCGTTAACATCCAGTATTTCAAATTCTATAAATAATAATTCTACATCATTATGCAATAATAATAGTACATCAATTGCACAAGGTTGTCTACGAGCATTAAAATCTGGTGAAACAGTATTTCGTGCATCAACGAATACTTCAACTGGTACATTGAATTCACGAAGAAAGGTTAGTACATCTTCAAGAACAAATACTCCAATGTTGTTGGCAGATGAAAGATCAACAAATCCAAGGTAAATACACAGTCTTACTTCAGTTTTTTTTTAAAATTTATGCTTGTGTATATGTTGGTCTTTTTTCATTTTTTCTTTCTTTCCATGGATTCGGCATTCACTGAGAGCATGAGATGTAAACCAACTGTGTGTCATTACAAGTTGAAGTTAAGCATTCGCGCCCGAAACTAAAGATTCTGGGTTCTAATCACGCGCACGGGATCGTATATACTCACTTCTAAGGATTCACATACTAAGACGAAGCGGTCTTCCATTGCTTCCAGGTTTACAATGAAGGTCTAACATTGGTCGATTCATGATCTCAATCAAAACTTAACAATCTCCACAACCCTATACTGATCATTCTCTCTTCTTGAATCATATTGTTTATCACCAATTTTTTCTACGATTAATAATCTTCTGCTAATATTTCTACTGCTGTGTTATTTGTCTTGATGATTTCTTATCACCATGTTGACATGCTGTGTTGGCTGAAAACACTGTTTGACATAGGTTTAGTGCTAGGTGACAACCATTAGCAATGTGTACCTCCAAATTTGAAGGGATTGATGTTCCCTGTAAGGTTTGTTCTCCACACAACTTGATTGGCAGAAAACATCAACAGGAAATATCAGTTCCCTTGGGTTTTCAGTCACACCTTGCTGATGAGGTTTAATTAGCACTAAACCTTTGTCTAGGGCTTCCCTTTCAACTACCTTCAACAATATAACATAAAATGGATCATTTATAAATACTCTCTGGCTCTTAAATGATGGTTGGAAGCAGTCAACAGGAAGCCCTGGACCCGGGTTTCGTGCTACTTGGCACTCGTCAGCAAGATTTGCCTGTAATCTTGAGGGAACTTGTTCTCCCTGACGGATTTGACCCCGTATCACCCAGCTTTACAGTCAGAGACGTTACCATTAGGCTATCCGGGCCGTGACCGACCTCCTGTAGGACTGAGATGTGATTACAATTGATTGATCACCACCCAGTGATCAATCAGTTGTGACTTTCTGGCTCTGTTAGTTTCATTTACGTCAGAATTATTTATTTCCTATTTTTTTCTTATTGTAGAATCAAAAATTTATCACCAACTGTAACATTAGTTAATTTATCAACAAAAAATTCTACTGATGATGCTATTTCTTCATCAAGTTTATTAAGAAAGAAATCCAACTTATTATTTAATCGTGATATATATCAGTCATCATCATCAACTGAACGAAGTCCCAATCATCATTTAACTAATTCTACTAATATAACAACTAGCATTAATACTAGTCATACATTACAACAACATAAAACTTTAAATCGTGTAGATCTATCACATTCATCATCATCTTCATCGTCAATATCACCACTATCTACACCATTCTTGGGTAAATCAACAAGTATGTTTGTCGTTTTCAATATTTTTCATTACCATTATTGTTTTCTTGTCGATATATAGAATTTAATATGTACTAAGGTGATTTTCGGACATTGATCTCCTACCAGGAGGTCCACTTATCAACTTAAAGTACATAGATGACGTAGTCTTGTTTGATGAAGACGCTGATAAAATGTAGAGTATTTTGGTAGCACTGAGCAACAATGCCAAGATGTTCGGGAAGCGTTTCTCGCCCCCTCTAAATGCAAGTTGTTGCTTCAGGACTGGCCTGCGTCAACACCTGAACTAAAGATAGAGGGAGTGAATTAGTCGAATGCATTGACAACTTCACTTATCTTGGAAGTCTGATTAGCCTAAATGGGTTGGTGTCTGACGAAACATCTACACAGATTCGAAAAGCTCGTTTGGCTTTTGTAAAATTACGTCACCTATGGCGAAGGCGAGATCTCTGTCTATCAATTGAAGGACTAGTATGCTGAGAAGCAGTTTGTTCCATTTTACTTTATGGCTGTGAAATGTGGCCATTAAGAGTAGAAGACACTCGTAAGCTACTAGTATTTGACCACAGATGCCTCAGAAATATTACTGGCGTCTGCTGGAATCACCGGGTAAGTAATAGTGAGGTTAGACGCAGGGTATTAGGGAATGATGGTAAATCACTTGATGAAGTTGTGAATCTTCATCGACTGAGATTGTTGGGCCACGTGTTACGTATGCCTGAACACCGATTACCACGACGTGCAATGCTAACCGGTGTTCGGGATGTTTGGAAGAAAGTTAGGGGGGGGGCCAAACCAAAACGTGGCATCAGTGCTTGAAGTCACTAACTTCTAGTCTGAGCCATGTTGGTAGATGCAGACTACTTGGTTGGTATCGGCGTGACTTTCGTAACCGATGGTTGGAGACTCTTGGTGACATGGCTCATAATTGATCACAATGGCGTAGGCGTATACACTCTTTGACTTCCCTTAAACTAAGAGATGAAAATCGCTTCATATCTTCCTTTCTACGAACTAATTCTTACTTCCTATACTATATCCTTATATGCAATCTGTATTTTATATATTACCACCTCTGAATTAACTACTTTAATGAATACAGTGTCCATCTTGTTGTGTTAAGGAGATATGGCAACTTGGACCGATGTATATATATGCTTGGTCCTACGTTGCAACTGACTGATGCCTGTAGAGATCTGCTTAGTATTTTCTAATTTAAAAATCCCAAAACACTAAACCATTATTTTGACCAAGTTAACTTCAATATAATCGTATTCTCCATGAGAATCTGTGCGCTTTGAATTTAATTATATTTGTGAGATTATTAGCTCACATTATTTATGATTAGTTTCAAACTAGACTGAAATAGTTGTACAGTTGTGTGTACTTGATATTTTCTCTTGTGGAAATTTCCCGTCTAGCTTTTGTATAGAATTCCGCTTTTCTTCATTCGATTCAGTTTCATCTCCAAATTTTATTTAGTAATTGTCTTAGAAATAAAATTCCATCTCATTTATCTCAATTAATCTATAGCTGAAGTCAGTTTGTGATGAACACCCTTGATCTAATTCCTAACTCTAACTATCAACTGTAAATCATAATCTATATCTTTCACATAGATTTATAACCTCTATTTTGCAATGGTAAGTTGTTGAGCACTCTAAAGGTCAATTTAGAGTTGCTCAAAGGTCGTCCATAAACTATAGTCTCACCATAAAGATTCATATCAAATTATTTATTGTTTTTTTTTCTAAACGGAATCTTTTTTTGATCTATTAGATAATGTTCAATCAAAATTGAGTCACCCAGCAACACCAAAACTAGACACGACAACACCATCAAATGAAAATAATAGTAATGTGTCCAGTATGGATCTAAACAGTGTAATGGCATCATTTTTAAGCAAAGATTTTGGTAGTTTTCTTGATAATGATACAAATCTATGTAACACGAATGGTATCAATGGTGATGATAATACTGGTCGTTTCCAATTGAATAAAAGTCATGGTAAGTCGTCAGTAAGTGTTTAATTATCTGCATGTTTGTTTGGTATGAATCTTAAGCAACTACATCATTTAACATTATGTTTATTGTGATGGGGTTTTTTTATTACTGACTGATGATATTTGTTATCTAGGTGTTGTTGTAACCATGAGGAACCACACACTACTTTAACTGGTCAATAGAGCAAACTAATTGAAGTTTTAAATGTAACCCCACTACATGTGCTAACTTACTGGTGTAAATGTAACAAGCTAGCTGCGAGGTCTAAAAATGGTGGGTCCCATCTCTGACATTGGGATTTAGGATTGGTACTGTTAAGATATCCTACGGTTAAACGAAATAGTCAGTCAGTAACAACGTACAACTTCGTACGTACGTACATCAGTTCGAGTTGCCACACCACATTAGCACAGAGATGCAATTGTCGACTCAAATCACGTAGTGGTAGAGGTGAAATAAGTACTCCCTGGATATTTTTCTACTGTTTAGCTGAAGTTTCCATCTTTAGTATCAACTAAAGATATTCAGTAATGAAATGACCTAACTTGAAATGCACAATCTTGTACTGGTACTTTTTGATGTTTTGAATTAAATAATCTTCAAATACCATTGCATACTAATACTCTGTCATGATGAATTTTCATTTCTGTTTTCCTTAATTTAACACACATTAAAATTCGTAATTATGTTATTTTCATTTTAACAGTCCCATCGAGTTATCAATCCAATTTGTCGAAATCACCATTCAAATCAAGTTTATCTAGATTACCACCGGTATGTGAAAATTTATTTTTGATTTTCCCTACTGATTTAAATCCTTCAACAATTGGTGGTTTGACTTTTATAAAGGTTTTTATTTCCCTCATTGTCGATATTCACGATTGGATTTTGATCAATATTTTCTGACTTATGCTGAATCCTGAGCGGATGTTTCTGTATTACTATTTAGTGACAAAGTTTTATTACATTAGAATTGTCGCTACTAACAGAGCGTATGGTAATGGTTTCGATCCATTTGGGCCTCGTTAACTGGATATATCTTGGTCTCTGTATTGATGTTCACATTGATAATCTAACCGCAGTACTTATTGATTCAAATGCATATTAGTTATTCCCTAATTTTTAAATTTCAGATATCCACTGATAATATGTTAATATTAAAACTAAGATGTAGGTGCATCCAGATGATAAATCGCAAACAGGACAAGACGCGTATTATGGGTTCCGCTGGGGGTAGATATATGACAGTTCTGCTCTGATCTACCCTTGGGGTCGGGTTGTTTGTGAATGCCGCCTAAAGTGATTAGTAGACTCCAAGGTTAAATACTTACATGAGTCCAAAAGCAAACACGTACCGTGAGAGAAAATTGAGAATTCCTAAAGGCGTCTAACATTGAATCAGTCAAATCATTGTCTATAGCTCAAGTGGTTATATCTAAGTTTCGACCTTATAATCTATTGGTTGAAAACTAAATATTCCAACCGCTAAATTATCATTTGATTTTTGTTGGGGTTGTCAGATCCCCAGAACTCACTTGGTGAATACTTTATTTTTGTAATTTTATTTTGAAAATTCGAATTTCTTGTTTTTGCGCCAAAAGCGCTCATTTCACCTTCATGTCGTATTTCCCACTTGGGAGAATCTTCAACGCTATTGGTTCGTTGTATCTTTTATTTTGTAACGCTTCCGAAGGACAATTTTTTGCTGTATATATACGTTTGATTTGTGCCTGTTATTATTGCTCGTGCTTCTGGCTGTTTGCGGAATATATTTTCCCGTTTCGAACTTGGACTTCTCTCTCTCTAGTTAGCGGGGCTGGGACGCATCGGAATAGCTAGCTTATTGGTCATTGGTCATAGAGTCTTTGTTACGTTTCGAGACAAGGTGAATACGTAATCGCTTCAAACATAACAATTTTAGATATTGTTTCGCTGTTCATAATCTTTTACTCAAACATGTAAATATCTACTGATTTTTAATTTTTTTTTCTTTTTGGTTAGAAACGTGGAAATCTACGCAATGCCGACGATGATGATGATGATGTACTCGCTATTTAATAATCATGTGAACCTTGTCATCTATGCAACATTCAAACTGCACAATAGATATGTGAATCTAAAGAAGTATATATACATATATATACATTACATTACAGTTATTCCTTTCCATTGCATTTTCATAAACATTTATTTATTAAATTATACTTAACTGTTACTATATCCATAGGAAATAAACCAAATAGGATTATGTTTGTGTGTGTGTGTATGTGTTTCCTTCTTCGATTCTTCTATTGTGGTGACTTTTATTATTTATCAATCATTTGGAATGTTATTTACCTTAATCATGTCTACTATAATAAATACTTGTTTTTAAGACATCTATTTGAATATGATGTAATTCTCAGATATATTCCTGTTGTATATACATTGATACATATCTTTCTTGAATAACATTGTACTGCTCTGCAATACTTAATCATCATAACTATGTATTTCCGTTTAACCTGACCGTTGTTGCAGGTCCTATGTTGTTGTAACTGACTGACTTTCCTTCAAGCACTTTTTCCTATAATGTTGATACACACACACTAGTTTTACTCCTGTCTCATTACTCTATCGTAATAATTCTGTTGTCCGTACAATTGTCTTACTACCCAAAGACGAATATATACACACAAAAAATTGTATTTATTCCTTACAATATTAGTATTCTTCAACTTACTCTATACATATTTATCTTTTATTTAAAATGAATGATTGTTTTATGCGTTGACTTATTATTTGTCATGCCTTAAGAAGAAACCCCGGTGGTGTTTGTTACATTGTTTTTTTTTCTATTTAAGCCATTTGTGCAATTTTGTTACATGCTATATGTGTGTTTGTGTATGTGTTTATGTATCCACTTTTTGTGCTTCTTTTTCTTTGTATACCTTTTGAAGGAATGATAGATTTCTAAAAATCAAAATAGGAGTTGTACTAGGTTTTTCACTTTACTCTTTGTCATGGTGATCATGGAGGTATATATACTACTGATTAGTTTCATTGATTTATTTATTTATCAATTGTGTTCATTTTCAGCTTTTAAGGAGGAGATAGGAAATATTTTCCATTTCTTATCCAGTGATGTTATTCTTGCTCTCGTTTCTTTTGGGGGTGGGGAGGGGGTTAAGAGTAGTGACGAGGTGGTGTTGATTGTTCAAATAGTCAGTAACATCATTATTTCTTTAGGAAAGTTTTTTCGCACTTATACTTCAATCCATAATGTACTCACTATCGATATATATATATATATATATATATATATATATATATATATATATATATATATATATATATATATATATATATATAGTTTAATTCCTTGTTGCCATATAGATATATATCGTTCTGAGTATTTTCCGAATGATTATCAACATTGTTATTGTCTGTGTTTTCGTTGCATTTAGTCATTTTCAATTCGAGGCCTTTTAATACTCTTCACCTTTTTTTGTTTCATGGGAATACTTTCCAAATCATTATCACATCTCATTTTTTGTTCCTTTACTGTCTTCATTTGTGTGTGTGTTTTGTTTAAATCACTAAAATATTGTCATAATATTTCGTTGATTATCCTTTTTTCCATTTTATAATTCATATTCATTTTCATTTTAGTGACACTAAGAAGTGTTCACATATAACCATACAAAGAGAGAATGAGATTATTACCCCCCCCATATATACACACAAATCCACTCCTTTCTTTTTTGTTTGTTTTTCACTATGAATAGAATCTTGAAATGTAAACCTAATGTTATGATATGATCAATGCATTTTCAATTAATCACTTCTTGTTTCTTTACTCATCAAAGTATTATGATGTAATATGAGTGAAATTGGTGTGTATACTGAAATATTGACTTTATTCAATTATCCAAACGAATTTCACTGTCTAATTCGTTTTTTTTCTTTCTTCTCTTCGTACTAAAGGTTAATTAATTGTAAACTCAAATGCTACATTAATTCGATGTTTATGATTTGAATTAGTTATCGTCAATAAAACATTAATTCTATTTGAGGAAATATCAGTATTTTAATGATGATAGGTCGATAAGATTTTCTTGATTAAGATCATGAACCGAATGATTTTAGACTACCATTGTAAACCTGGAAACACTGGATGGTCATTTCGTCCTATTGTGGTACTCCTCAGCAGTGCACACCCACGATCTCGCTCGTGGAATTCGATAAAACTTTACACTATTTGTGATTGAATATTAGATAAAATCCATTGGAATGACGGACCAAATAGTATGTTAACTTTTTTCACAAAGTCTTAACATCATAGAATACAACGGCATTATTACTAACTTTTATTCACTAATCAAGTTGGTCTGTACACCTAAAAACAACCTTCAAATGAAAACGGTAAAGCCCCCAAATACTCTTATACAGTCGAGAGTGGGGAGATTCAGCTCTCTCTCTCTCTCTCGAAATACTCTCATATGGCCACGTGCATGCAACCACTGCTAGAGAAGTAATGTAATATAAAATGATTTCCTTAACTCTTGTTTCCATTCATAATCATAACAAAACAATATTTCATTATGGAACTGTTGCTTGTTTACTAAGCCATGTCCATCTAATTTCCCATCAGTAGTTGAGTAGTATTGTCAGCTATCATACGAAAATTACTATCTAATGCTTAATATTGACAGATTCATGATGCTGTATGGTGTTTCGACTACTTGAATACTAGTTATTAATCATGTAGAATCCGGTACGAATGCGTCAACTTGAACTGATACACATATTTCAAGTTCTGTTTCTCTTATAACTAAGAGATATGAATATGTAACGATCAAAGTTGCTGCATCATCTTCAGTTAACACTATGGATAATACAATGAACAAGATGAAAAACAGAAGAGGATAGATAATATTGTTTTTTGTAGTGAAAAGTTAATTATACATGAAATGTAATTCAAATGTGATTTAGTGAGGTTGAGTAATACAAAGTGTACAGTGGAACTGAGCTCAGTCTCGTGCCAAGCGCTTAACCAACCAGACCACTGAGCCGGCATCCCATGGTGTTAATGTCTAATTTCAACCAATCCACGAAGTTGCACCACCGTATACCATTGTCTTCAGTGAGCTGGTATCTCATAACAGACCTGGTTTAACTCCACTGGTAACAGCGCACTGCTGAGGACTCAATGTAACCACTAGTTTAAGTGATTCGACACTTTGTGCTCTATCTTTTGACTTTATTTGGCAGTTGGAGTTAGTCTTAGCAAACTTTGTTTGATCGACGTTTCATGTTAAATGGGAATCACCAATAAAGCAAAACTTATCCTTCGTGTGAGATGCAAATCCCTGTCACCTAACTCCACAGACTGATAATTTATCCCTGTGCTGTTCGAAGTCTGAATAATCTTTTGTAAAACTGAAATTTTTAATTAGACTAACCATTGACTAGTAATGAACATGATGTTTATTCTGATTCTTTCCATTTTAAACCATATTGGTTTTGAACAAATGGATTTCAATTTGTATTCATATTAATGAGTGCTCATTATTCAAATTAGATTGTGTATGAATCTTATTCCACATATATCCTTGACACTTGAATAATATATGGTTTATCATACTTATTCTCATTAAGTCATCTTAATTGTTGTATTTAAAGCTTTTTATACATATAATTATCACCTCTTATATTGATGATAATGAATAACTAAGTCCATTTAAGAAGGTATTAAGAATTGTTGTATGAACAAACGTAGGATGCCTAAGGGTACACAAATTATATTTTCACTTTTCACAAATATTTAAGAGGAAGAAGAAAAATCTACTTGAAGATTTATTTTGTAAAAAATGACAAAATTTAATGATTGAAGATAGTCGGTTAACCGCTTTGGATGTGTTTTACTCATAGGTAATCATCAATGGGGGTATACAGTCTTGGAGGAAATAATGCTTCACTTAGAAATCTAGACCCTCATCAATTATTATTATAGTTGAAGCTGTTATCACCGAGTGAAATAGTATAATGTAAGTGACCGGTCCGATGAATCTAGTAATCTCGCTAGTGTTGTAAATCTATTAAGTCTAGAAATACTAGGCAACTTTAAACTGATAAACTAAAATACAATCGTCCATTTACTTAATTGTTCCTTTTACGACTGGTCATCTGTGAAAAGAGCACATACTATTGGAGAATTCAAAGAGAAATATTTCCATGAATCAATTTCATCATAAACTAGCAGGGTGTTAGATGGAGTCACATAATAATTATTCTGCATTGTCAAGATACTGTAATAAGGCCTCAATATATCGATCACGGAAGACTGAGACTAAAATTCCGAATTTCAACTCAACCACTTAGTAGGTTGACGCGCAATCACCGGAGTGATTGTCATCCCTAGACAATGCCTAGACATTCATACATTACTGGGCGTTTAATTCTTTTAAACCGGTCGTTTATCTGACTATGAAGATAAAAAGTCCCACAAAAATATACATATGAAAGTGAATCAACAATCTATGATGAAAAATATCGTTGAATGGATCTAGTTTCTGCAACACGGCAGAATAAAGACTAGCTTAAATTAACTTATCACTGAGTAGTGGTTGATATTGTGTGCGTCTAATCCTTAGTACAGTTCGAATACTATCAACCAACTTTAATAGGACTACTATTCTTAGTGACTCTACATCCAGTTGCACTTTGTTCAGATGTTAGATGTTCGAACTCTCCTTGACGCAGTTAGATTTCATGCTAGTTAGCAACCTTCAATAGGGATAGAATAGCTATATCGGCTTATTGCCGACTAATACCATCTGCAATAAAGCCTAACTAGGTGAAACAGGTTTCTTAACTGACTGACTACCACCTAACATCAAATACTAATCTCAGGTTGGAAAACCAATAGAAGCTAGAGTGGAAAAATCCCAAGTTACTGACACCTGTTACACCTTGTGAAGCAGAGCCTGGTAACTGGGATTCTCCAACCAACTCTGTCATCCTTTTCAGGTATCGCCAATTGCCATTTATTCTTTTGATATCAGCTGCCGATGCTCGGAACGATGTGTCCCTTTGTCTAGCTGTTTTCCTTTAGGCATAAGTATTCCAAGTTAAGAGTTGTTCTGTGATGCAGTCTGGTGGTTTCTGCAACATGTGTCCCATGACCCCCAGTGTCTTTTCCTATTCTCCTCTTAAGCTGAAAGCTGTTTCGCTCTCTATCGCAGTATGTTATTGCTGATGGAATCACAAACCCTTAGTGACATTTTCTACATTTCTGTAACCCATGTCAGTTTTGTTTTATTGATGACAATCAACTTGAAATTCATTTGCGTGTGCAAACTACCCTTCTTAGTTAGCAACTATCATCTTGGTTACTAGTAAACTTTATACAAGAAGTATTAAATTCACTTGGTGTTATTTACTTGTATCTTCCAATTATAATTTAGGACTGCAATTGATCAGACTCTTATTGGAATATGTGGATTGCCTCAATACTGCTTTAAGCAAAGATGGATAGTGGCTAGTAATGGAATCCAAGACGCGCGTTCCGCCATATTTGGGACTCGTCAGCTGGATGTACCTGCATCTCGGAGTTGATGTTCACTTTTAGACTCGAACCCAATACCGTTTGCTCCAAACGCTACCTAACTGCATAGGCAAGTGGTTATAAAGTCTCAGTAGCCAGGTAAGTAACGCGATGGTGTTTGAAGCAAACAATACTGAGTTCGAGTCTAAGAGTGGACATCAACTCTGAGATGCAGGTACATCCAGCTGAAAATTCCCAAATATGGCGGAACGGACGTCTTGAAATCACACTACTAGGCACTATCCGTCTTTGTGTATAGAAGAAGTTTTTAGGTATTATTACAACGATCTGACTTGATAACTTCAAATAAATTGATCATAAGGTGAATTATTTTTATAATGGAATATGTATGTTTAGCATTTTATTAAATAGAAAATTGAATTTTGAACATTCGGTGGCTTAGTGTAATTAGAGTCTCGAGTTTCAAAATAGTCGCCCCTTGTTTTTTTTTGTAGAGTATACTAAGCAGAAAACATGCCAAGAAATACAGTTTTTTTAATGTAAGTTTGTCAGTATTTAGCATCTCAGAAATCCCTAGAGTTACAGTTAAAAGTCATGACCAAAAGAGATTAAACATTTGAGGGTTGAGGCAGTTACCTACTAGTGGTCTTGGATAATATTCACACAACATCGCTAAATCATTAAAGTTAAAATTGTAAACCACTGAGAAATGACTCAGCAACCTGAGTGTTAAATGTTTACCGTGAAG